TAGGTGAGGTTGAAATCTCACCCATCCGTGTGAAGTGTGGTGGATATAACGGTTGGAGGTGAGTTCATGCATTGAATTGCATTCGGATGAAGTTTTATTTTCAAATGTCAGACTCAGGACTGCAATGATTTCTGACGAAGAGATTAAGTAGCAATAAAATGAGGAGCAAAGCAAAGTTAAATTTCGTGCATCTACATATGCGGGAAAGTATGTAGAAACATTCACCAATCTTCACTTCAATTTAATTTCAATAATTAGGCTGCATGCATGTGATAGAACACAACAAGGCAGTTATTATCTGCTTATTTGTAAGTGTGACCAAGCGTTTAAAGTTCTCAGTTTGAACTAATCCAATACATTTTTGTTTGTGTATTCAAATGACAACCTGTTGTCCAGTTTAAACTCTCCTCTTGTAATACTGATCTAAAATTATCACAGATCTAACGGAACTCAAAATCTAACACAAGTGGATTTATTTATTTTATTTATTTTGATTACAGCCTGATGCCACACCGTATTTTCAGTACAAGTATGGAATTTTCAGCATGGTAATCGGTAGCCCAAATTTTGCAGGCCGACCATAGATATCGGGTGTGCGTCGGAAGGGGAGTGAACCCCGGACCATGTGCATGGTCGGCGACAGTCCTAACCACTGTGCCACCGATGTGTATTCTACACTCATTCAGTTTTCAAATAAGAATATCTCCCTTTTTACTGCAGTGATCTGGATTTCATAAACTATATCAATGATACTAAAACGATTTTCCTCACAAATTATACCGACTACAGTATGATAATACTTGCAAATTTATATTTTCTAAGCTTTTAAACAAAGATTCCTCACTGTATATAGCTGCTTCTCGTTTAGAATATACGTGAGAGTCCGTAACTTTAAGGAAAACGAATGCAGTATCTTTAGTGGCAGCTCATTATACCACTATACAGAAAATCGAAGTTAACTGAGATGGTGCTGGACTTCAGACAGCCTTCAGTAATTTCTGGAAGATTGCTTTTCCATGCACATAACTGCTTCACATTGATTACAGTTACACTCGAACAATGAACATTGGTGGAGCTGTAGTCTGGAGCCCAATAGTGGGCGAAATCAATATGATATCCCTATAATCTACAAATCTTAAAGCAGCCGACCGCCATCACACTATTTATACTGTCGATCTCGCTGAAACAGATGGATACATTTACAAGAAGTCTGCGTCGCATAGTGTCGCTTTTGAAAAAATGCACATGACACCTGTAATCATATACGCACCTTCACACAGAAAGTAGACATCTTATCTTGTCATCGGCCATCTTCATTAATATGACGAAAACCGAACTAACGGAAATACTTCAGATACTCGAATTCACCTACGGACGCTTGTCTAATCGACTGCTCGAAGAGGGTTTTTACTAACAAGCGCCACTATCTAACTCTTATTGGTTTCTAAATCCACAAAGAGGACACACTGGGAAATACAACGGCAATACCGTGACCACTAGCCTTGGTAAGGTAATTGAGGAAAAATCAGCAGTTTTAAAGATGCCAGAGAGCCAAATGTAATTGGATCCACCAATATACTAGTATTCATTCAGAGGTGGTTCTGAAAATAGCCACTCATCCTTGTGTCTTTTCTAACAACGAACGCTGCTCAAGCATTCTAACAATTAATCTATCAGTTCCTCCATGGTATTTCTTAATTATGCACATGCATTCTCGACCTACCCCCTGGCAGTTCAGATGAGGTTGATATCGTTCTGATGGCTACACAACTGAACCAAGTCCTAACTGAGACACTAACTTATACCATTTTTCACTGAAGATGTCACTTACCGTGTAATCAGATTCTCATCGGCACTCAACTCACTGACATCTTCTCTGATGTCTTCCAACCATCACTTCATTGTCTATGTGGAATAGCCTGTTTGCTTCATTTGTCACTTGGGCTATTCAGTCATTCACAAACACTGAGTAGTTGTTAAGTGAAGGGCTATTTCCTTTAGGCGAAACAGTGAATTCGTATTTTGGTTAACAAAGATACCTCTGGCATTTATTTCAGCAGTGCTTTACAACAGCATACAGCAGTGGCTTTAGGCGCAACGTGGAATTTTCAGTATGTTGAAAGGTCACCTACACCTGGCATTCCTATCGAGTCACCTATTCATCAACTGCTAACCGAGCCCTACGTTGCTTACCTTCGGTGATTGGAAGAGAGCCGGTGTTTTCAACGTAGTATGATCGCAATGAACGTCTACTGCTTTCAAGATGACGAGGTTTTGAACACAATTTATTGTGGTTCATAATCATATAAATTATAATCATACCACTTTGAAACCTGAGTTCTATAGTTTTCTTTGTTCTTTCCTATTTGTCGTGGGAGTAGTAGAGTTTTCCAGATGCACGGGACAGGTGTCGAATCACTCCCATAACACGTGTTTGCATTTGATTTGATAAATAGAGCTTCCATTATCAATCCTTCCCATCCTATTGTATAGCTGTGTGTAGTTGCGAGCAATGCCGTCCCATATATCTGGAAAATTCGACTACCCCTACGACAGATAGAAGAGAATAAAGAAAACTATATAACTCAATTTTCCAAGTCTTGTGATTATCATGGATATGATTATGAACCACAATAGATTGTGCTCGAAAACTTGTCATCCATTAAATGAAACTGTTTCACTCACTTTGTGATATGTATAGTGAACAAATTAATATAGACGTAAATGGATTTAATTCTGCCTACTTCAGTGATTACTTCGACCCCCAGGAGTTGCACACAGGCAAACGCTCCGTATCACCCTCCTTTTAACAAGAAGATTGAAAATTGCAGGAGTTAGCCAACCTAAACATAACTCCGACTTCTAAACGGAGGTTAGTAAAAGTCTACCATGAGCCGTCTCAGAGTGCAAGTAGTAGAATGGTTATTCTTAGAGTTACTCCTGAAAAACTGTTTGCCGTTATACACACTATAAACTTAATTCTGGACTTAAACAATGAACGAACTGTGTAACGCAATTACAGAAAATTTCGAAGTGGAAATTTCGCCTGACACCTAAGATACTGGCTGGGAACGCTCTTCCACTCCATGTGGGATTACAACAAACTCTATTCCAATCCTGAAGTGACGTAAGTCATCACTATATGCCTACTCACATGTCTCCTGAATGGTGTCCAAAGTACAAGGACGAGTGTATTTTTCCGTAGGGCCAGGACAACGTCTTTGATATAAGCGTAACATTGTATTGGGCGTTTCTTAAACACGATAGTATATTCCCAGTAAGTCAGAAGTATGTGCTACAACAGATAAATGTGGAATCGTGCGACAAATTTCTCTCTTTCATCTCCTTCATAATACTGCACATCTGATGAATTCTATTTACATGGGCCGCCGAGTCAAAACTCGACGACTCATCGGTTTAGAGAGGACAAAGATCCTTCTGACAGCAATAGCTACTAAATAATATGGTCAAAATGCCTGTTTTAGCCTTAACATCCTCTACAGTTCCGTCCTCCTCCACTCCCAACTTTATTAAAGTGAATTTCGAAAGATTGACAGGATTCCCCATGCTTTCTGAATGCATAGTCAATTTTGATATCAGTGACTAGTTGTTGCATCCAATAAAGTATTTGAGTAAGACTGCAATCACCAAAATGTACGTCTGGGGAGAATTCTTGCACCTACTACTGATCTGTAGGTACTACTGGAGTGTGGCGACTTGAACTGCCGCACATTTGTGCAAAGTTCTATGTCGAAAACCGACCGACCCACCGACAACACATTTTATCAGAGAAGCTCTGAAACGATCCTGAAGTTCTGAAGAGGGACTTCAATTACCTCACACCCATACTCGACAATATTTTCAGAAAGCCTCACAATAACTAAGTTAGACTTAATTTCATGTGAGTGAATAAGACAAAGGGCAAAACACGTTTCCACTTGAGAGAACCCTGAGAATGGTTGATATGTCCAGAAATTGTTGTGATAACTACAACCTGCACAAGAAAGTCGATTTCAGCATTCAGTGTGGTAAGTCATGATGAAAAAATTTATTTAAATATGACAATTATAGAATTACCCAAGCAGTAATACAAATGAGAACATGGGAACAATCTACCGTGCTAAAGCGAAGCAAGCTTCAAGCAGTAAATTATTGAAAGAGTGTTTAAACCGAGCTGCAGATATGGCACGGATTCACCATTTGGAAATGTCAGGTTATGTGGTTGGTATTTCACACTTTACAAACAAGCCTTACTAGATAAAATGTACTGATGTTACAACTTAATCTGTACTTTATCAAACCTGCAAGTGCTGGTAATAACAGTTGAGTCAATGTTCTGCAAAACGACATGTTTAGAAGATTGAACGTCACAATAACGTCGAGAGAAGCTTTTAGGAACTTGTCTGACCAGTGTGGCTGAACTATGAAGTATGAGGTCATATATGCTACCAAATCGAAGAAAAGTGTAGAACAGCATCCAAGCTTGGTCGGAAAAACACACCAAAATGAAAATTCAAAAACCTAAAGCACCCACGAGTGGCGCAGAAGTTTTCCAAGTCATAATTTAACTCATGCAGTTTTAGCCCTATTTTTATTCTGGTCCAGTGAAGGATGCATCAAGACTGGCCTTCACTAGGAAGCAGACAATTTATGCAGTTACTTTGTAGTTCTCTGAAATAAAGTGATTCCGTGGAAGTTGGATGGTGAATGTCTGACATGTATATACACAGAACACGCATATTTCAAGTTGGAAATTTCCACTTTATATGAAAATACTTACTGACTCGTCTTCAATCTTCGTAGCATTTGTATTTCCCAAAAATGATTTACAAAAATCATTATAGTTATCTAAGTACCGTAAGACACAACCTACAAACAAACCATTAGGTGATAGGCTAATTTGGTTGGATGATATTTTTCTCATCACATGTCCAATGAGTTCAAAATCCAATTCATAATTAGTATAAAATTTGCTGAGATTCGAGTGAGAAATACACTGCTGAGAAACAAAACGTAATCATGATTTCTTATTCTGCGTTGTTCGTGATTGTCTTACTCCTCAATAATGCTAGTCGGCGCACTCTGGCTATAGTCCCAATACCAACAGTTTACAAGAATGATTCGACAGCCTGCAGTCTGATGCATACACTTACCTACGAACACAACTATCCGACATGCTTTATTCTCACAGATTCCCTGACAAGATTTCGAATCCGTCTAGCATCACAGCATCCACCAATTCCACAGAAAAGCTTAGAAAAGTGTAGCATAAACAAACTGAAAATTGAAATCATGGATGGATGTGATGAAAATTCAAATAAACTGTGGCCGAGTCATATAATGAATGAATCATGTGAGTCACAACACAAGAATTATTTCACTCACCACTTTTCAGATAACGTGAACATTGAAGATTCAGAAATCGCTATAAGTTCCAAAGAGGTTTGGGGTGCACTACGTGCCCTTGAAACTGTACTTCAAATGGTGTACAAAGATGAATTCGGAGGGGTGAGTTTTGTTTTCGTCGACAACCTCACTTCATCAATACATTTCATCTAGAATGTGATTTTTAATGGTTATGTAGAAGATGAACCATTATTCTTACATCGTGGAATGCTCTTAGACACCGGTAGGAACTTCATGCCAGTTGAAACCCTACGGAAGATAATAGTAGGAGATGTGTTATTCAGCATAGTATTTTCTGTTTTCAGGATAGCATGGCCATGGTTAAAATGAATGTACTTCATTGGCATATCACAGATGACCAATCGTTTCCCTTTGTCTCAACCGCCTATCCAGAACTATCAGACAAGGTAATTAAAGTTAATGTTCAGGTGTTTATTAATTCCGATTCCCGTTTTAATCTCAACAGGGTGCATATCATCCACAGATGTGTACATATGATGAAATAGAAGTGACTGATCTGTTGGAGTACGCTCGTCTCCGTGGAGTTCGGATCATTCCAGAGTTTGATACTCCAGGTAAATAAGTTTGAAGACATTTGCTATGATGTAGTTATTCACCAACTGTGTCCACATGAAATAATATTATGTAAATATTTGAGTCAGTGTGAAAGTGTTCTCGAAATAATGCTACAAATGGGACGTCGGACCATGAGTTCGGCACAGGCACTAGGTTTGAAACTATAATGCGGATTGTTTATGATTTTATGCTTACAGGTATATTAAATCAAGGAGGTGATGAAGTGGATTAATGCCGAGTTGCCTGACAGTTTCATATTTGACGAAAGCCTTTTGTCGCACCTCTCTGTGGTGAAAAGACCATGATTTTATACAAATCATTGCGGGTTTATGGCTCCATTTATTCTTTTTAAGTTGCTTCACATAAACCAGAAAGCTTGATGAAGAATTCCAACGGTGAACTGCCTGAACGTAATTAGTTGAAGTGTCAGTAAAATTGTCAAGTGTGTGACCACTGCACTTTATGTCGTAGGGATTATCCTTGAATGAAGGAATGCAGGTCATGTGGAATATATTTGATGTGTGCAGTAGACAGTGTGTAATCACAGGAAACGAAATAACTATCGATTTCAAATGGTGAATGGTATAGAGTATTGACTGTTGAACAGCCATGTCATTTTTTTATCTAAGCAATATTGTCCTTCTAAAAGTTGTCAAAGTGATCTTCATTGGTTGTCACAATACTTCCTTGTAGCGCATACATTGTCATGGGGAAAGGCATATCCAGACTTACTAACAAAATGTTATCAAGACTCTAATCCAACTGGACAATTGGGTCCATTGAATCCAACCAATGATTCTACATTTGAGTTTTTGAAGAATCTGTTTACAGAAGTCACTAGCCGATTTCATGATACTTATATTCATCTTGGAGGTAATGAGATAAATGGTGACTGTTGGTGAGTTTACTCATATTTTATTTCACACACATTTCATTGAGAAGAAACTTTAACACATCCTGAAGTTCTCAAAATATTCTGAAGGAAAACGTTTTCTTGCCTCAGATGAATACAGGTTGAATTCGTTTCATCTAGTACATTTTATCAATAGTTGAAAGTTATATTTGTTTGAATCTCAGCTAATTTGAAATGAATAATTCTCATGTTTCGTTCATCGGATTCGTCAATACTTCTTCAGGAAAATAGTTGAAATTAAAATTATAAAGGTATATATATAAAACGTACAGTTTGTCTTTACAATTCTTGTCCAGCCATCTCTGAGTCACGATTAGTCATCAAAAACAATACTGTATGCATTGTGATTCACATTTGACACAACAGTTCTCAAAACTTATTATTAGCCTAAATGTGTTATATACCGTAAACAATGTATGCAGGGTTTGGTATCAGCCTTCAATAAAACTGTTTGAATAAAGGTCATGGTGAACTGGTGTGAAGTAAGGGGATCTGAACTAAACAATATGCACTTGTGAATGTGTGAATAATTGCAGATCATTTGTCAGCATATTCAGAATCAAATGAAATTGCGTTAACTGTGAGTCATGATTGTATCGATTGAAATCTTCAGTTACACATATCCCTAATGAAACCACCGACAATTTTAATAGAACATAAGCATATTTTGCTTTATAAGATACACATTATTATTATTGTTCCCTTGGGTTCCTAGTGGAACATAGGGCTTCAACTGCACGCCTCCACTTGCTTCTGTCTTCTGCTGTACTTTTCACTTGCATCCATGTTAGTCCATACTGTTTCAACTCTTCTTCACACGATCTCCTCCATGTCACCCTTGGACGTCCCACTCGCCGCTTCCCTTCCGAGTTCCACTCGAGGGCCTGACGCGCGATGTCACCCAGCGGCCTCCTCAGCGAGTGTCCAATCCATCTCCACTTTCTCCTGCATATTTGTTGAGCGATTGGTTCTTGTTTTGTTTGTTCCCATAGTTTCTTGTTGGTGATTCTTTCCGGCCATCTGATTGATCTTCAGTATAGAACGAAGACAGTTTTTGATAAAGGTCTGCAACAGGCTGTTGGAAATATTCTTTGTGACCCGCCAAGTTTCTGATCCGTATAGAACAACTGACTTGATGTTTATATTGAAAATCCGAAAATTTGTTGTTGATGCTGAGTGACAGCGGAAGATTTCCAGATTGGTTTCAGGTTGATGAATGTGTTTCTCGCCTTCCCGATTCTCGATTTGACATCCTCGTCCGTTCCTCCTGTAGTTGAGACAATGCTCCCTAGATCAGTGAAGTGAATGAAGTAACCTCTTTCAAATCCCTCCCGTTGATGGTGATTGGCATTGGATGTTGCTGTTGTTGTTGTTGTTGGTTGGTTATTTTCATAACCCCCGTCTTGTCTATGTTCACCTGCAGTCCTGTCTTTGCTGCTTCTTCGACTAGTATGTCGATTTTCGCTTGTAAGTCTTCGATTTTGTGTGACATCAAACATAAATCATCCACGCGCGAAATCCATGTCTTCTAGGTTCTTCACGTCGGTCCAGGATATCCCTGTCTTCTCGTTTCCCACTGTCTGACGCATAATCCAGTCCACCACAATTAGGAATATCATTGGTGATAATAAGCACCCTTGTCTGACTCCTGTGTTTACTCCAAAAGCCTCGCTGATAAGATACACATAATCAGGATCATAAATTAGGTATGAAGATCAGTGATTCATATATATATATATATCCTACTTATTGATCAAGACCTGTCATGCATCAAAGCGGATATGACGGTATCATCTTAACTAACTTATTGATATGATATCCTTTCATCTAATATCACAAATAGATTGTGAAACATTTCATTCCGGTTGATTTCATAAGTTGTAATTCGACTACAGAAGAAAATTATGCAACATCACTTGTTTGCTGAATGTCTTACACGACTTCACTAGGAAGATGTCACTTCACTTTCAAACACTAGCACGACTTACATCAACTAGTTCGTTTCCATGATTCTAGTATCATAGATGGTAGAGAAGTTGAAACTAAGTCGGTTGTTAAACACCTTGCATTGTGTCTTTCCTCCAAACCTTCTTGGTTTTTCTATATCAAGTTGGTTTGTCCAACGTTCTACGTAAAGGAGTTAAGATAATCTGAAAACATTCAGTCCTTACTTTCAAAGTTTGATGATTTGTGTTTCCTGCCTACAGTTCCTTTTTGCTCCCCTTAATATTTCCTGGGATACTTTAGAAAGACTTTGTGACACTGCGAAGGGTACTGAAAGTTGTCAGTAGGGCGAGTGGGGTGTCGCTAAACCAATTTGTTAGTACTGTGGTAGATCGACGCATGGACTCATGCAAGAAATTAGCTAATATTATCTTGTCGAACCCTGAGTATCCTCGCTATACAGAACTCTCCACTTGCATCTCATCAGGTAGAACCGGAAGTAACTTTGGAAGACTTTGTGCTCGGACGACTAAGTATAAAAACTCCACAATACCTTTTTTGGCACATATTTTATGTAATGAGAAAAGTGTAAGGCATTACACTACTAATTCTCATTCCCTCCCTCATTGATATACTTTTCTTAATGTTTCTACTTATGTTCTTTGTTCTTTTGAACAATATTGCCAATATGAATGCCCTGTTCAATTATTTCTACTTGCACTATGTAAAGAGAGAATTAGATGCTGTACTACATGCTGAAAATTCCACACTGTATCAGAATTACTGCTTGGAATAAAGCCATTATCATTATTATTATTATGAGCTCTGATGGATGACTTTCTATAGTACAAGATTATTTATTGTGCTCACAGTCAAAACTTAAACAAAGCACTGAGCACAAATGAACTCATCGATATCATTCTCTTCCTTCCGATGAGTGAAACGAAAATTCTGTATAATTCACATTCCACTCATACAGTCACGAATATGAACTGAAGAAATGATACACCTGTAGATGATTTTACTTAATCGATAGGGTCTCTACGAAATAGTATGCTATGATCACTCAGAGGTGGTTAGCGGTTAAGGAGATTCCAAGAATGAGACAGATAACCAAGTAGGAACTACATCTTCTTTACGATTTTTAAGGCCTTCTGAATCATGAATGCCCTATCGTGTATCTGACTAGGTTTCCTCGCTTTGCTTCCCCACTGTCGTTCTTTCGAGAATAAACATTCAAAACCTGCGATTTGTTTTCTGCAACAATGCAAGCTATCATCCAGTGATTTGCGTAACTATTTTGATAGAAAAGTCGGTTCCTAAAAATCATTGACGAAGAACGTGGGAAAATTAAACTTATTGTGTTTCTGTGTTCTTTTCTTTAGGCTTTCGAATCCAGAAATAGTTGAATTCATGCAAAAAATGGGATTCCCTGGTATTTATTCCGAATTAGTGAACTATTACGTGTCGAAAGTTGTGGAAACTGTGAAAAGTACTGCTGACCCAAAAACCGCCATTACACCTATTTTATATCAAGAGGTTTTAGATTACGGATATCAGGTAAATGTTAGGCAACGTGTTTAGTATTAATTGTTTTATCTACACACAACACTATCAGGAGTGTTTCTTTCACAAGGTGGATTGTGGTTCAGTAAACGTTTATTGTTCGTAAGTATTTTAGAGTATTAACATAACTTTATAGCTTTGTTTGTTCACTGTGACTGTTTCTCATATCATGATTCCAGTGGTAAGAATATTTCTCATATTCCTGTCATTGGTTTTGGATTATATCTATTAGACTTATACGATGTCGGTTGATTTCATGAGTAACAATTCAATCAATGATCAACTGGGATTAGTTCACTGGTTTCCTGCCTTATCAGCCGGTCCTTAACCTTTAAAAGGAAAAAGGTTGATTGTCAGGCTGAAAACCCTACGCTTTAAAAAATTACCTCATCGCTACAATAACTTCAATGCACAGAAAAATATGAAAAATAAACTCACTCCTTGCTGGAATATAGAATAAGATTTTTAGGATGAACTGCTTCTGTGGGTGGAAGCCTTCAGTAGGCCACTTAACCGAAGTGTCACCTTTCGGCTATAAGCGTGTGGACACGAAGTATTCTCACCCTGTCTGAGGCTGCTCAGACCACAGATATAACTAGGTGTGTTATAACACTATTAGGAATCTGAGAACACAGGTGAAACGGAACTAAAATCTCCGAATTCACAACTGTAGAATTAATAATCTAGTCCAACCACTCAGATGAAGACAACAAGTACACTGAGAGTGCGTTAATCATGTTAATACTGACGACATAGAAAGCCCTGATGAGCTGAACACTGATCTCCTGCAAAAGGTGAATACAAGATTTCAATCAAATAGAAGAGAAATTGCATTTATACAGTGCTCTGTACCTAAAAGCAACACAGAAGAATGACATCTACAGACACTTGCTGACAGTAACGGACAAGACCCCAACCGGAATTTCGATTGGTATCACAAATGTCACAGTGTGGGCAGACAGCAGAAGCAGAAGCTCATCATGGGTTTGGCGTCACTTAGTGTTGCCGAAACTCCATGTAAACTAATATTTTCCCAAAAAAGTTATACAATAGGGTTAAGTATGATAAATCAGGCTAAATTCTCATGTTCTGAAAACTCGGCTGACCCAAACAGAATAATTCAATCCTTGCGCTTGACCCTGAAATCTTTGTATTACACTCGCTGAGTTGAGTTATTTATTCCCATTGTGGAAAATAAATGAGTAGGCCACCAGAGATAGTTTCATCTATTGAACAGTTGCTGATTTCCTACTTACTGCACCACTACGATTGGTTTTCTAAGACATTGAAGCTCTTAGATCCTACCACGTGCTAATGCCCTAGTCTCAGTCTCACTGGTAATGATATTATTCGGTGAAGTGGGGATGCACGTAGTCGACGAGTCCCAAAGAAGATGAAATACGCTTCACGTTCTTCACTAGTATGAACTACATTAAATCGGTATTTATTTCATCTCCTCAATTGTGCGTTGGTGACGCTCTCAGACCTTGCACATGTTCCGGCCGGCCGACGCACACCTGCTATCATTGGTCGACCTGCTAAATTTGGGCTACTGATATCACCTGCTGAAAATTCCACAGTCGTATAGAAATACTGTGTGGGAACAAGCCATAATAAAAAATGACGTCTAATCGCATATTTTTTGATTCTAAAGGATTCTAGAAACCAAATGTTAGTTAGGAATGCCTCATTTATACTTTGTTTTAAACAAATAGAAATGCTCCGATGTATTGATTAGACTGTCATTTGAATAACCGAATCATTTTTTCTTCATTCTGCTATAACATAACGTAGAATTGATTGATCTGCAGTTAGGATAGCTGTTAAAGTGTGCCGATTTCCCGAAGAAATTAGCATAAAGAGTGGCAAGTGTTCTTCCTCGTTTTATTCTTAAATCAAAGACAGCCCAGTTCTCATTGCCAATTTCATAAGTCTTCATCTAACTTGGCGATCAATCTGCAATCTTGATTATTAGAAATCAGTCAGCACCAACTTGAAGGATCAGACGTAAGATACTGGTTGCTCTGAAGGGAAGAATCCATCGATGACATACTTTCTCCAGAAATTTGAAGACCTTAGAGGTCAAAATAGAACAGGAGCGAGTTAATTGCATCTTTCAGTTTTCGGAAAAAGAGCAAACTCTGTATTTTTTTCCATTAAAGATAGACAAACACCTAACACATCTTCAAAGATAGGCTTTACGCAACTCAGATAGTTAAAAAAATCCCTCCTTATCATCACCGTTTAATTGAAATCTCCCATCTGTAGAATAAGGTGTCTCTCACTGTCTAGATTACCATCTGATCGTAGATCTCTCTCATTAAATGACATTTGTATTCGTTCGACAAACAACCAGTAATTGTATAAATGTTTGGTTCCATCTTATAGGGTGACGAAAATACAGTTATTCATGTTTGGAAAACCGCAGACTGGCAAGGATATACCAGAAAGGCTACCGAAAAAAATTTCAACGTCATAATTTCTGGTGATTGGAATTTAAATGATCTACGTGATGAAAATGATTGGGTAAAATACTACAAACAAAATATCAGAGAATTTGGAGGTTAGTTGATTTACCGCATGGTTTGACAGGTATGGCGTCATTAACCAAACTTATTTGTTGACGTTATCTATTGGATTTGGTTAATTTTGAACTTCTTTGTCATTTAACAATTTGAATCGGTTGGTAATTTAGAATTGCACAGTAAGCGGTCATATAGGTAACCACTAAGGATTCTAACGTTTAGGAATTCAAGAATAATGAAGAGAATATGTAGGTCAGTTGGATGCTTATAGTATTATGCGAGCTGGGTGGTTGAATTGCAGATTCATTAAAACAGAACAAGCACATCCTGAAAAGCAGTCGTTCAGTAATGAATCTAGATCTGATGAAGTATACATGGGCCCCGATGACGAATATGTCGCAAAAGTGAACTCAGATTTCTGTCTCATATGCAATAAAGATATGTACCTGAGAAGGAGTGCTCGAAAGTGAGTTAGACGAATTGTCAGATACCCCGAATTTCATGATGTCAGAATCAAAATAACCCTGAATAATTGGCACTTTGTAACTACATGCCTATCGGTAGCTCGCGACTAAGCAGTTTAGCTTGCGTAATTTCAACCGAAACTTGATGTGGAAGAAGAGCGATTGATGAATTATTTTACGTTGGTGTCAGTTGTAAGACTAATGATGAGTGAGTTCGACACGCGTATTGGTTCGTCAATTACTTCTAGTTCTCAGAACCCACTTAAATAAAGACGGAAGGATAAGACACTCCGCAGCAACAATTCGACTGCATTATTCATTAATACATCATTTATAAATACTACGTACGTCGGAGAGTTAAGTCAACAAATAAGCAAATATATTGGTTGCATAACGTCGGTCTTCCAGATTGTCCAATTGCATTATCATAAGTATTCTGCCCGGGACCGTATGGTTTGAATTACCCATTTCGGTATTGCTACTGTGTGCCTATTTGCAACAGTTTTAGGTGTTACATATGAATTAGGCATAGAATGTACTTTAAAGGTAGCGTTTTGTCTCTTCTTGTGAGTCCAATCCAACTTTTCTATGACAGTTTCATATGGTTTTAGTTTCTTCCACCCTCGACACAAATCTCATTTTGTCTGACACAGTCTGACCAAATCTACTAACAGGACATTTCATTCGATAGAAGTATTAACCAGTTACTCAGCTAAACTATACATTAAAACCATCACAGTTTTAACCTTGTGATCTGCCGCATATGCCACAGAGTGTATCTGATAACGAAAATGACAATAAACAAAGCAACTGTAACTAATAGTAGCGATGAAAACAGAGCCAACATTATGAAGTGAGTTCGTACCAACTGTCTTGAAAGCAAGTCATTCGTTGGACTACAAAACCTGTAGTTATCGCAGCTCAAGCACGAATGTGGGTGCAAATTTTATCGTGGTCTCGCTTTCAAATACTGTTTGGACGATGGGTTGATAGAACGTCATGTTTAGAATTGAGATTAAGGTAAGTATTGGAGTTAGAGCAAAGATAAGGGTTGAGGTGTTTGATTACTGACAGTATTTTTCTTGCGAATGAATATGTATGGGAGGAGAGTATTTCCTTGTTCATACAGATGAAACTGCGATGGACAAGTTTAAAGTTTTACCCGATGGTCTCCTCAGCTTATGCCCTATCCATGTCTATTTTCCCCTAAATATTTGTTGTGCTGTAGACTTTTTCATTGGTTTGTTCTCAGAGTTTCTTGTTGCTAATTCCTTCTCGCCGGTCGGTCATTTGATCTTCAATATGAAGCCACAGAGGGTAGCTGCTAACAAAAGTCTACAGCTTGTTGGAAATGCTTCTTGTGACGAGCAGCGCAAGTTTCCGACCCAATAAAGAAATAGTGACTGACTTAATATTTGTGTTGAAAATCCAAATTTTGTTCTTAATGCTGAGTGCATCAGAGTTCTAAACTGATTTCAGAGTGATGAAGGTATGTCTAGCCTTTCCGAGGCTTCAAATATAGCGCACCCTTAATTAGGTATTGAAGTAACCATTTCTAAATCAAAACTCAGTGTCTAAATTTATCGGTAGCGCCGATTTGTGTCATTCAGAAGACAGCAACACATCAAACCGGAACATATAAAACCATCTGAATTGCAAATGTTTCGTTCACCGGTGAACCCGGAGTATCTGAATTTGCAAATTACACTAATCGTCATTCAGTCTGTTTAACTTCCTGCGATGATAATAATAATTATCATTTCTTTTACAGGCTCAGCCCAGGATGCATCTTTAGTCATTGGTGGTGAAGCTACAATGTGGAGCACACGTGTGGATGAGACCAATGTGATCTCGTTAGCATGGTAAGTACCGTGCTATCAGCTTTCGACCACTTAACAAAATGGTTTGAGTAGAATTAGGCGGAAGTGAACCAAGTGTTTATGGTGATTTTCGGAGTCGACAAGACAACTGAGTGAAAATGTCCCTTGGAGCAGAAAATTACAAAGTAGCCCAGTGCTAAGTCTCTGCTAGAATATGAGCATTCAATGACATCCCTTAAGGTTCAGATGATATAAGATGGACAGATCGATGGGACTCCATTGTTAGCCAATCATCGAGCAAATATCAGTACTTCTATGACTGTTTTCAACCTATCGCATATTTTAACAGTCACTACCTTTGAATGTTAACCTCTAAGGGTGGAGTTAACGGTCCTATTGATTTCGATATCAAATGACCGTTACTGAATTTTCAGGCTAGTTTGACGCTGGCCTCTCTTAGCGTTACATTTTTTTCATCAACGAATGGCACAGCTGGCCAGATGTCAAGTGAGACGCCTTCGTATATGCTACATAGGCGAGACTCCTACAAGAAATGTTGCAGGGAGACATCCAGTTTATGATAGACCAATTTTTGAAGAGCTTGATAAAAAGTTTAGTGTGACCTTATTTTTCTTGCCTTATGTACAACAACGAAGTATTTTCTCTCATCTCTGTGACATATATGCAGGCCCAGAGGTGCTGCTGTAGCTGAAAGATTATGGTCGAAAAGCCCTGAGACAAATGAAAAATTCTCACAACGAATGGGTGAACTTCGATGCAGAATGCTCTAGTGAGTCCTTGTGTTCTTATATTCATGTTTAATCAGTTGAAGTGGTTACAAGTAAATAGACATTTCATGTATATTCTGAAGTTATACTGCAATGTGTTTGTGGCATGGCCTTTTTCCGAAATACTCACTGTTAGTTTTATTGACCTCTTTCACTGTTGAATCACAGTTTTCATCGTCTCTTGACCCCACGACAAAGTATGTGACGTTCATTTCGTTTCCAATAGAGAATCTGATTTTACTTCATTTTTGTTGCATATAATGTTAGCACAAGCACGGAAATTAGAAAATTTATCTATCCGCGTTTATTTGAATGTTGTATGGTTAAGGTAAATGCAAAATTCAAAGATTTATTAAACTGTGTCAAGGGAAAGTGAAGTTCACTAAGTGATTCTACCTCCTGGGATGTATTAAACAGCTTAGAGCTAGCTGTTCACTGCTCATGATGAATGTTGTTAAGGTGCTAGTGAAGACTGTAATTTAGCACTGATGATTAATTTGCTGGCTTTGTGTCTGAAACTGTCAGCAAATCACCTAACTAGATAAAAAAAAACAATTTGAAAACAAAACACTTAGTTCAGCAAAGAGGCTCTCTTTGGTGAATGCATTCTCCCCTTTAGCTATACAGTAGCACTTATGTACATCTTTTCTCATGAGAAAGGGTAACAACAAAAGTGATGAGTTGTCGCAAAAATAGTTGTCGATATTTGTCAATGCATATGAGGAGTTGAATATGTGTGTCAGAGTTATGTAGTAAGGCCTCAGAAATGCAAAGAAGAAGACAGTATATTGCCCTTGACAGGTTGTTCTTGACTTCGTAGATTACATTGAAGGAGGCGTTTGTTGAGATGGAACGGTCGGTGCTCTCTAGATGTTCGATTATCATACTCCTCTAGGGAGAACTACTACCTTTCTGAAACCATGAGCGGGATAGTGTTCCTGAACCTTTTCAG